TTCGACAAAAAATACTTAACCCAACCAATCACGGCGCGTCTCGATCAATTTCAGGAAACGTGGGAATTAATTTTTATAACAAGGGCTTATATTTATCGTACTATTTCCAGAAATGTTTTGCGAAATGTTTCACGAAATATTTCTGGAAATATTTCGGGGATATTGTAGCGGATGTTTAAGGTATAACATATTTTGATGGTTTTTACTCTTTGGGTGAGAATATAACAGTATTTTGTCCAGCATATCACAGCATATACAACACGTGCACACCGACATCTGTTAAACTAAACATCACATAATATTATAAGTTTTAGCAGAATATTATTTTAATATTTACACATCAAACAATATTCTACATAAATACTTTAAAAACTTTCTTTACACAACTTTGAATCACATTAACATATGATATAAATATTCCAAGATAGGCACTCCACCAAGCCGCATTATCTCCCACCGACGAGCCCAATTATACTGAATAACAGAATAAATCAAATATTTTTTAATATTTCTTTGGCTTTTTGTCGAATTATTCCAATCAGCGCACAACGCCCTCTATTAGATAAGTTAATAGTCAACGTTTGACCTACATTTAAAAAGATCAGCTGATGAATTATTGGTTATCCAATTAATTTGAGATTTTACTCAAAACAGTAAACCTCTGAAAAAAAAATAACGAAATAGGCGATAAAGTGACAAAAAGCCAAGCCCGTAAAAATACTATCATTCAAATAGAAATATCAATTATTTTGGTGTTTATTCACAAAAACAAAACTGTGAGATTATCAGAAACAGAGGAGCCAATTCTCAAAAAATAATCCTAAATAATTCAGATCGCATATATGAATGCATTTTGTGCGAAATACACGTGGGTGTTTAATTTAATTTGCATTTTATGCAAAAAATTGTAATAAAAATAACAAACCAAAAACCTAAGGATCATCCTGAATGCAGGAGCGAATGATATCTAAGAACACTTTGACAAAATAAATAATTATACTACTTAATAAATATTCTATAATTTTTGCGTCTTAATTTATCTAGATGTAGATATTTCATTATATTTTGATCCTCATACCTACAAGGAGAAGACACCTACATACCCACTGAAATGTAACTAATTTTTTGGTTTAGATTATTAATTATTATCTAAAATACCTTGCAGATGAAGTACTTACTACTTAAGAGAAGAAAAAAACTTGAATTAAATTTCTATATTAGCAAATATTGCACTTCTACGGTAAGAGCGGAGGAGAATATTTTGAAGAACAAAGGTAAATATCTCGTAAAAGGCGCTCCCGCAGAATTGCCGGTTTTCTCGCTTCTGCCCTCTGCGGACTTAAATTTCCTAGATATTACAAGAGTTTGAAAGAGAATGCTCTCGATTCTTTGTAACCGTAGCGGCAAGAATTTCTCGAGTGTTCTTTAGTCCGATACGATGGAAGTGAGCCGCTTGCAGATTTTAACTTTAATTTGGAAATTAAATTACAACTGGATATTTAAAAGGTTTCAGTTCCTTTATTTTCATCATATTTTTCTAAATTCAAATACGACATAATTTCTTTAGGTACTAATAAATTGATAAAAGAATATTTTATATTATATTTTTAAATACATCTGTAGAATAGAGTTACAAATGTATTTAAAAAATTGTTTATTCGTTGAGAATAAATTTCAACAGTTTAACGTATTTTTTTCTACATGGTTCTACATGAATTGCGGTACTATTATACCGTATGATCGAATAAAAACGGCGTCAGCGATGGCTATGAAATGACAATCGATGACATTTCTCATATAATTTTACTCAAATGACAACGATCTTCATTTCATAGCCATCGCTGTGTGTGTGTGTGTGTGAGAGAGAGAGAGAGAGAGAGAGACTTTCAAGTCCTTGATATAACCCAATTTGTCGAAAAAAATAACAAAACTTAAAGTATGTGATAGTAATTTTTTGTTAAAATTCATTTAAGATATGATCGGTATCGGTGAGGTACATCAGAATATCGGAATGAATTTATACATCAACATTTTATTTTCATTTCATTTTCATTCCTACTTTTTATTCTAAACCTCAATATTGTAATTTAATGTGACATTCTACTGCTATTGTCCAAAAAAAATTGTAGCCACCAAAATGTTTATACCGGGTGCGTCTCAAAAGTGGCTCACCCCTATAACTTTTTTATTTTTTCAGATAAAAATACGAGATTTGGTATATGTTTGTATATGCACAAATTAGGATTGATTGATGTATTTCATTCTTTTCGGCCACTTCCTGTTTCACCGGAAATAACTACAACTTTTGATTTTTAATGGTACCCTCGGTATTTTTTTAATTTATTAGATAGAAAATGACACTGTGAATAGAATGACATATCCTAGTAAGTAAGTAATTAATCTTTATTTCCCAAAATACAAAGAAGCCCCATATGGACATGAAAACATTGTCACACAATGCAAAACAAAAGGTATTAACAGTACTTAAATTAATGATATGATATATACAAATATCTAAAACTAAATTCTAATTATAAAATCACACTATAATATTTATAATAATATTTAAAAGCTAAAAAAAATATACAAAAAAAAAACAATTTAGAAAACTAAATATATAAATGTTACATCACGTCAAAATTATAAATTAAATCTACATCCGATTCAAAAAACTCATCCAGTGTATAGAAGGCATTTTGGTACAAGAACTCTTTTAAAACATGTTTTACATTATTTCTAGGCAGTTGTCGAACCGTTTCAGGAAGGAAATTGAATATCTTAATTACCATGTAATCAGCAAAGGCAGATAACTAAAATTATACTTATCTGGAAATCTGAACAAGATTATTTTTATTTCTTGAAGTGTACGGATGAGTTGATTAAAAATATTCCAGTTATCAAGAACAAACATGACAACATCCAAGATATGCATACTAGGTAGTGTTAATATTTTATAAGTTTTAGAAATTTCTTTGCAGCTATCACGTGGATTCAGATTAAAAATATTCCGTAGATATCTTTTTTGTAATATTAATATCCTTTGAGCGTTAACAGAATTTCCCCACAAAATAAGTCCGTACTTTATTCTAGAGGTCACAAATGCACGGTAAGAACAAATTACTGCAAATAACTTTTTTACAATGATTTTTACATTATGATATTACTCTTAATGCATATCCAAACTTATGTCAACTTTTGACATTTTTGCAAACAAAATTGAATTTTAAATTTCAATCTAGAGTGCCAAGGCTCTCTTAAAAACTAACTAACTAATTTTTAATCAAGGAACGCCGAACGTTGGAAAAATAAATTTGATAGTGTAATGTTTTTAGTGTCTTTTCCTGACCGGTTAAAAGATGTCCAAATAGTATGTTTAATCATATCTCAGTTTTTCCAAATGGAAGGAGATTGGCGCATATTTGGAAAAAGCATTTTCTTACGAATAATTTGGTACCACACACTTGGTATTTCCAGTCAAATTGTCGTTATAAATGTTGTCATGTTGCAATTTCAAATAAACCATATTCGAATGTTATATGATATGTTATTCTATTCAGAGTGTCATTTTCTATCGAATAAATTAAAAAAATACCGAGGTTCCTATTTAAAAATCAAAAGTTGTAGTCATTTCCGGTGAAACAGGTAGTAACTGTACTAACATACCGAATGTCGTTTTTTTATCTGAAAAAATAAAAAAGGTTTTGGGTAGTATAAATTTTTACCATGGTATTTTTTTAACCATTATAATGGTATAAAGAAGGGCTGTTTCAAGATTCTGTATACGGCTTACTCAAAATAAAATTCTAACTTGGTTTGATTTATGCAATCCACACTCACCAAATTTTAATTTTTTAGGGAACTTTCTTTGTTTCCACGTTATACAGGGTGTCCCAATATCCCCTTGACATAGCACGCTTTATTATTTGAATGAGATTTTGGATGTCTGTTTTGTTAAATGCTTTAACATTTGACTTTCACAAAAATCAAGAAAAAGTACGGAAAAGGTGAGAATTACCCCCACCCTTACGTAAATTTTACTATAAATATTTTCCAACTCAACCAACGACCTATTTTTGCTCGTAAAATGGTCCTTCTAGTATTTACTGGACTTTTTGCCTGTTGTAAAAAAAGCCACCTCTATTCTTTTTAGAAAAAAATATCTTTCCGAAACTGACTTCTAAGAAATATTTTTATAATATTGAAGTTCTTTGTATATTTTATAAGTCAGCTTTGAAAAAAAAAATCCCCAAAAAAAACTTTTTCTCAAAAACTATGCGATGTGGCATTTTTTTAACATTTTACGATAAGAAAATCGGTCGTCGGTTGAGTTGGAATTTATTTCTACTAAAATTTATGTAGGGGTGGTGGCAGTTTTCACCCTTCCCGTATTTTTTCTTGATTTTTGTGAATGTGAAATGTTATAACACTTAGCAAAATATAGACACCCAAAATCTCATTCAAATCGGAATAACGGTTCTTAAAATATTTGAAAAAATGTGATTATTTTATTAAAACTTTATTGCCCTCTAACGGACAAACGAAGCACTTTTTAAAAAGGTAATTATTGTGTCGAATGAACTTGTTTTGATTCCAAAAATACGTAGTAGTTCTCTGTCCACGGAATATTGAGACACCCTCTATATAAAAATATAAATTTAATTTGCAAACAAATCCAGAATGCCATATTTGTTTAAATTTGTTTGTGCTAAATCGATCTTAATGTATCTTTAAAAGTAAGATGGACAAAAAATTATACCCGTTCTATTCCATGTTATTAAATTAATGGAAAACATAATTTTATTGATAATTATTGTTAAATAAAAACTAAATAAAAGAGGAAATAAATAGAACACTTACAATTTTTTTAATTATTACCCAATATAGTAGCATTAATTGACATTTATTAGTCACGATATAAGCAATTGATAACATTCAATAAATTGACCTTTGTAGTAAATTCCGAAATGACCCGAAACGATAAGGAAATGTATACAAATTCTGTAGATTATTTAGTGTAGCTACGAGTTAGTATAAGCTGGTGCTAGCAGAAGTAAAGAATGGATCAAATAAAAAATTTAGCTGATCTTAATATTGAAGAAGGTAGAAAATTTATAAATTCTTTCGATTATGTGTTCTCTGATATGGATGGTAAGTAAATAAGATATAATTACTAACTAAAATTTAACCACAATGTATTTTATTTACTCTTATATGATATTTTAATTCGAGTACTTAATTATTTATTCAATCGAAATGAGTCCCTTTGTATAATACATATATTATTTTTTGTCATACGCTCCCAAAAACAGCTATTTTACGGACTCATTTCAGTCCGTAAAATGTTTCTTTTTCGGCCTAGGCCGTAAAGGTCGTCATGGCAACCTTTATGGACTAAAATGTCTAAATTCGTTATTTGGTTGTTTTATTTTGTCATTCGAAATTTGTCACAAAATCACATAAAATTATACATATATTTATAATTAAATTATTAAATACTAACAATACTAAGTTATTTGTTTAAAGTAAGTACCTAGGTACCTATTTAAAAGAGGCTTTTAAATTAAAATATTCTTAAATTACAGTCACAAACAAGACATAATCATGTGGTACATTTTTTGGCCTAAGACAAGCATATTTTCTATACAACTCAACTGGATTGACAACGTTCCCTTCGTTCACCACCGGAAACACTCTTTGATATTAGTTTTGTATCCGCAAGGGTAACTAAAAGGCAGCTGTTGTCTTTTTCTATGATGTCTTGCACTCGTAGAGAGTACAATTCTTCTCTTCTACATGCTCCACAAAGGCCAATGACAAGAGCTACCTAAAATCAAATACAATGGAATAAGAAACCATCTATATATTTTAAAAATCATTATCGCAAACTTACCTTAGTAAGTAAATAAGTTTCATCACTAGCCGTGGCCAAAAAATCACCGATCTCTTTTATGGACAAAACCTTAGACTTTTTAGGCTCGTAACCAACCGAATTCCTCTTCAAAAAGCAATAAGTTTTGGAAATTTGTCAATATAAATATCTTCTTTAACACTTAACACTGCTCTCAGCATGGAATATTTCGACCAAATTGACGATGGTTTGAATGTTTGTGACTGTAATTTAAGAATATTTTAATTTAAAAGCCTCTTTTAAATAGGTACCTAGGTACTTACTTTTTCGTGGAAATAATTTAGCAATACATCTTCATTTACAACGAATACGCCATTTTTGTCTTTCCATTCATTAAAAACATCATATTCTTTCTGGTAAATGGCACGAGACTTCACAGGAAGTAAATCCAACACGATTTCTTTGGCCTTATTAGCAATATGTTCGGGATTTTGGAACATTTTAAAATTGTTGATGAATTTGTGTGATTTTGTGACAAATTTCGAATGACATGTCAAAATGCGATGAAATAAACAAACTCGTTACTAAGATATGAATTTATAAGCCAACTTTTTCAAACATTATAATTTCAAATATGGAAAATTTGCAAATATGCGTTCTAAAAAACTGTAAAAAGCGTATGACAAAAAATAGTGTATGTAACACGTACCTAAATTATGTTTTTTAGGACTCATCTACTATTTCGGACTCGGCTAACGCCTCGTCCGCAAACAGTAATGATTCGTCCTAAAAAACATCATTTTAGGTACTAGTTACATAAATAGCTATTATAGGTGTCTTGTGGCTTTCCAATAATTTGCTTCCAGGATCTAAAGAGTGCATTGAACGATTTCGAGATTTAGGGAAACATTTGGCTTTTGTAACAAATAATACAATTACTAGTTTTGAAACGGTAAGTTTAAACTGAAGCCTATAATATATTAGTAATATTTAATGTATTAAATTTTACATTTAAATACCCATTATAATAAAATATAATATAAAAATACCTAAAATTAACTTCTTTAACTTTCAAAGAGGTTATAAAATTTACGTATAATTTCATTACGTTCATTAATTTATAAGTCCACTAACGAATATACAGTGTGTCCGACTAGTCCGTGGACATAGAACTACTGCGTATTTTTGGAATCAAAATAAGTTCATTGGACACAATTTAAGAGTACTATACAAAAGTATTTCGTTTATCCGCTAGAGGGCATTAAACTTTAAAAAAATAAACACATTTTTTCAGATGTTTTAAGAATCGTTATTCCGATTTTAATGAGATCTTGGTGTCTATGTTTTGCTAATTGCTTTATTCACCTTTCACAAATATTAAGAAAAAGTAGGGGAAGGTTCAAAACTACCCCCACCCCTGCATAAATTTAAGTATAAATATTTTCCCAGTCCACCGACGACAGATTTTCTGTTCGTAAAATGATGATTCTAGTATTTACTATATTTTTATAATAATAATAATAATAAAACGTCTTTAGTTTTTTTGTTTTTAGTTTTTTTTAATAATAAAACGTCTTTACGTCTTTTTTATCTCTTGCAGAAAAACGCTACATCGCATAGCTTTTGAGAAAAAAATTTTTGGGAGAATTTATTTTTCCAAAGCAGAGCTACAAAATATACAAGTATTTTTCTAATATTCCGTGGAACAACTACGTATTTTTTGAATCAAAATAAGTTAATTGCACATAATTTATCTTTATACAAACGTGCTACGTTTATCCGTTAGAGGGCATCAATCAAAAATAAACTCGAACGTTAATTAATTTAAAAAATTTTTGGTTGCGAGTTGTTGACGGCTGAGCCCTTTAATCTTTTCCTTCTTTTTTTATACATTTCCTCACTATTTCTTTCTTGTTCATCTTTTTATAAAGCTTATTGTCAAATATAATTTGTGGATCAATCAAACATAAAATTCCATATTTTTACCAATTAGATTATTAGAGCATAATAGATTTTATGCGCTTCCATACATCGATGTGACAAAAAAATATTTTTTATAAGTCAGCTTTGAAAAAATTTACCTTTTTTACAAGAGACAAAAAATGTAGTAATCACTAAAAGTACCATTTTATAAAAAAAAATGTGGCCTCGGTGTAGTCGTAAAATATTTACACTAAAATTTATGTAGGGGTGGGGCTAGTTTTTACCCTACCTGTACTTTGACCTGATTTTTCAAAAAATCAAATATTAGGGCACTTAGCAAAACATTGACACCCAAAATCTCATTCCAATAGGAATAACGCTTTTTAAAATACCTGACAAAATGTGTTTATTTTTTTAAAATTTAATTGATGTGCTTCGTTTGTCCGCTTCAGACAAAGCACTTGTGTATAGAGGTAAATTATATCTAATGAACTTATATTGATTCCAAAAATACGTAGTGGTTCTATGTGCATGTAATATTGGGACACCCGGTTTAATATAGAGGTTGGTCCGAATTGTATTCGGGAAATTAAAAAATTCGTATAAATGTATGTCCTAAAATGCTTCGTTTTGGAGATAGGGTGTTGATGTGTCATTTCATTTCAATATTTTCCAAATAATTCCTGAACTAACGTCGATATTTTTATTAAGATTGGTGTCGTAATTAGTCCCGTAAAAATAGCAGAAATGCATTTTTTACTGTAGTAGTTAAATACATACATGGAGGAACAGTTATTAAAAATCAGTTCTCACATATAAAAACACCAAGACACATCAATTTTCATCGAAATATCGACACTATTTAAAAATAAAAATATAACTTCTAACTGCCATGTATCTCCGAAACGAAGCTTTTTTACTTATTTTTATTTGCAAAATGTACTGTGGCCGGCATTTCCTAAATACAATTCGGACCACCCTGTTTAACAACATTGGAGCATGTAACTATTTACATTTTGTTACAATAATTTAATAGAAGTGATGTAAATATTAGTTATGCTCTGTAGATCATACTTTTTCTTCTTTTTAATAGTTTATTATCTTAAAAATCACGCAACAGATGAAGAAATTTTCTTCAACTGTTGCGACATTAAGGCCCGTATTTATAGTTGCGTCTTGGGCTCTTGAGAGCGGAATCCACAGAATACACGAGCAAACGTCATTTTGGAGATTACGATTTTCATTTTGGATAGTTTATGTCATCTGTGGATAGTTTTTTAACCCAACTTTTTTTGTAAATAATAAACAATCATAATATTGGTTTAAGGGAAAATTTAGATAATTTTGAAGATACTAATTTACACATTCCAATTATAAATAAATAGGAAGAGAGTTAGATTTTTGAAGAAATCTTATTCAACATTTTGCAAATTAATGTATGTATTGTATTAATATATGTATATCTAGTAATTATGTAATACGTTAAGTAATGTTCCAAGGTAACTAGTACCTATACACATCGGGACAGGTCAACTCTGTGTATAGGATTTTAACGTGTAAGACAGTGATGTAGGCAGCTTAATGGCAAATCAAATGTATTAAAAAGAGAAAAAAGTTGGGTGGGTATGGGTGGGAACATTTCTTCTGAGCGGTATTGCCAGATTTTGCATCAAAATTTCAAACCGCATAAGTAGACGTTTCAAAAAAATGTGGCATCTAGGGTTGGATCTGGATTTTCAACAATTAGTTACTCATTTTACTACAACTGTAATAGATTACATTTAGCTTAAATATATTATCTTCATTTCAGTAGTATACATGAATATTTTTAACATAGTTTATTTTATTCTAATTTCTTTAAGACCACGATAATATACTGGTCGGCAAGAGAAAATCTTGGGTCGTTTATTTTAGTCATCATTTACCTACATGTCTAGAAGTGAATCGCTATGGCAATCTTGTAAGTCGGGGAGAGAAAATTATTACCTATCCACTTAATCCGGAGCTCAACTTCATACGCTTGGGAAAATTCTTGCTCTTTTCTCTTTGTTCATTTATACAATCACAGAGTCTATAGACTCTGTGCACGACAATCGGCACCCAAAGCCGTGTGTATTATCGGTTATATCATTAAATAAACTAACCAAAAAATATGCTGTATTACGTAGTAAATGGTGCAAATTCTATTGTCGACCATTCTAATCAGTATTAAATAATAATGGAGTGAGCCAGTGTGAAGTGAGACATTAAATGATTGATCTTTTTGTTAAATTACGTGGTATAACTTAACACAATGATGAATCGTTTAATGTTTCATATGCACCTCCATAATTATTTAATCTGTAATCATACTGATTACATTGTTCAACAGAATTTGCGCTTTTAGTACGTTTTGGAATTAATAGATTATCTGTCTTATTATGCAACTAAGGATGTACGTGTCTACGTAATAGTGCATCAGCATCTCTCTCAATATATCGTATTGTACTGAACACGTTGACACACGAGAATCAGCAACCAAAGCCGTGTGTACGCTTCATTAAATAAACTAACCAAAAATATGCTCTATTACTTAGTTACGTACATCCTCAGTTACATAATAGGACCGATAATCAATTAATTACATAATGTTGTAAATATCAAAATTCTATTGTCGACCGATCCGGATTAAGTGGATAGGTAATAAACTTCTCATTTTTCTCCCGTATTTTATAGTCTTTTCTCTTTCAGTATATCGTATTGTACTGAACAAACGTTGACTTTATTCTTCATACACACGACAATCGGCATACAAAGCCGTACGTTGTACGTTTTATTAAATAAATTAACCTTTTTGTTTATTTATTGGTTCGTTTATGCTTTATTTAATGATTGATATTATTTTGTCAAGTTATACCACCAAGTGCTATAAACTAGTACAAAATTAAAAAACTTAATTTTAAGTAAAGTTCTTTGAAATATATCTGTATTACTATTATGAATGAAAACTCTTATCCATTTTTAATTTGGAATTATATTAATTGCCATGTGTCATGTTTTTATTATTATTGTCAATTTTCTGCGGATAGCTGATAAATTAATCTATTGTCAATTCAATATGATTATATTATGATGTTCAAATACCATTTTGTTATTCATAAAAACGGCCTTTTTATTACTTCTCTGTCATACTGATCCATCAATAAATATTTCTTACGTGTTGCAGCAGACCAGCAAAATTTATTAATTTTATGGTCCTTTATATTTACTCATCCCTGATTCCATCCAATTATGGCCGCTGATGAAGCGGGAGGTAGACGTTCGCTTTCGGTCATAGGCGTACTGAAAACTAAAATTTCTTATCCTCGTATTCAGAATTATAAATAGCAATAAAAAGGATAAAGATAAGTAAAACTTTATACTGATAAGTTTGCTGTACCAATATTAAAAAAATTGGTAGTAGGAAATATTATTTCATAATATTATGACATGATAATGTTATAATGTAATACTATAAAGTAAAGTAAAAGATTTGAAGTTAACATCTCCTTTTTGCTGCCAGGGCTAATTTGGACGGGGCCTACTTTGTTTACGCGGAATCCGAACAGCGGTCCTCGGTCAATGACCGAGCAAGTGTCTAAATCGACTCTTACTCACGAGATATCCGATCTCATCCGGCCTTGAACCGGCGTGAATGAGCAGTGTGTGTCAAAATATTTTACACTTTTGCCTTTATTGGACAACAGCACGATACAGAGTTTCGAACTGGTCACCCGTCTATCCACTAGTATCGCCTTACGTCGCTTAACTTCGGTGTTCTAATGGGAACCGGTGTTTCGACGTAGCTGGACCGTTGGTTGCCCGTAATACTATAGCTACAACCGTTATAACACTAGTTATACCACCCCGCATAAATTCAGTATTATTATAAATAAGTAATTTATTTCACACCCCTTAAAGTGTAGCACAATTAGAATCATAAAAACGATGCCACTTAACAGTTACATAATGTTTATAATGTTAATTTTAAAGGTCGTTTTACATAAAAATTGTTTATCTGTTTTTATTTATGATACAAAACCCGCTTGATCATAAAACTATGACCTTTGATCATGTCGATGATTTTTTTTTATATTGAGTATGTATGGGGCTTAAGAAGCAGCGTGGTGAAGGCGTTGTTCCACTGTTTGCATCTTAAACATTGTCAGCTGTCATAAAAAGATTATTATTAAAATTCTAATAAATTAAATTTTACAGAATTCATAATCAAACTAAAATTGGCTGTAATACTAAATCTAAATGAAAATAAAATATTAGTACGCCTATGACCCAAGAGTTTGGTTTGGTTTGGTGGCGACACGTGCGAAGAGATATGCATGGCTTCCACATTTCGAGAGGCGGGGTGAGACAAATCAAGTGGTGGGAGAGAATATGGCCGTAGATGCCAGGTCTAGGAAATATTCATTATTACATTAAGGTTTCTATCCTTACATTAAGGTTTCTATCCAGGAAATACCTTTTTAGAAAGCATATTTTTGGACACAATTTAGTGTGTGTATTTAATTTGTTTTCTCAAACTTGGCATTTCTAAAAGTATCATCAGATAAATATTTTAAAAAAATATTTTTTGTTGGTTGATTGACCTTGCCAACCAGGCTTCAGGAAATTTTCAAAACTTCATCTGGCAACACTGACAGTATCGAAGTCCTAGAACGGTAGACAAAAATCAAATCAGTCGGATTTTGAAAGGGGTTGGGTGTACATCATTCTACAATATATTTACGATTTTGAAGGTTATCCATACATCTCGAGACGTTTAATCTTTTAACAATAAAAATAATTAAACGTCCGGTTGTATCTATACTGCTCATGTTTTTGTTGCTGTTTCAGCATAAGTTAAAACAAGCATTAAAAAAATGACTAAAAATCAACTTTAAAAAAGGACAATTAGCAAAATAATTATAAAAAATTAAATCAAAGGTTCAAAAATACCTCCCTGTTGTGCTTCGCAATAGCCAAGACGGTTATAAAACTCTGACCTAACTTTAGCTAACATAACAGCGGGGATATTTTCTAACGACTGAACGATTTTTAATCGCAGCTCGTCAATATTCATGGGTCGTTCATGGTTATGGCCATAAATGGAGTTTTTTACATATCCCCACAGAAAGAAGTCATTGGGCGACAAATCAGGAGAACGTGGTGGCCAATTAATTGTGCCTTGTGTGGAAATTAGCCGATTGGGAAATGTGGTTTGAAGGAACAGATTTACGTTCCGCGCGTTATGCGCAGGACAGCCATCCTGCTGAAACCACACTTCCTCAAAATTGATTGGCAAATTTCGAACTGCTGGTACAATTTGGTTTTGTAGCATATCCAAATATTTGGCAGCTGTTAACATACCATCAATAAAAAAAGGCCCAATGATATGATTTTGCAGCATGCCAGCCCAAACATTTAGTTTTTGTGGATATTGTGTCCGCAGTGCCATACTAAGGTGCTTATTTTCTCGAGACCAATAACGTACTATCGAAGGATTGTGGTAGCCATGTAAGGGAAACGAGCTTTCATCTGAGAATAATATATTTTCCAAAAATAAATTATTCCGATCGGCTCTTTCTCTTACAGCCTCGCAAAACTCCAGACGTCTGTTACAATCTGCGGGAAAAATTTACTTATATCCATGCTTTTTTAAAACCCTGCGCACCGTTCGAGCATTGCAACCAACTTGTTCGGCTATATTTCGGCTTGAACAAGGTTCGCTTGTTTCGACCGCGGCACAAATATTAATTTCCTTGTCGGGAATCACCTTCTCTGCGCCTTCCTTATTGTCACAATTTCTGCACGCCGCAATGCAGCCTGTTTGCTCAAATTTATGAACAATGTTGCGTACAGTTGTGGCATAAGGCACAGGGCGATCTTGAAAGGTGAACACATAACGCCCAATGACCTCTTCCACACTTGAGGAAATGTAAAACCATTTAACGATATGCACCTTCTCTTCGGTCGTATAAATAGCCATTTTTGAAACACTTAACGTACACACCGAAACAGCTAGGCGAAAAGAATGATGCAAAAATAGTTTGGATCTCAGGTGATCTATTTCCTTTCCCCACCTTTTCATCTACATAAAGGTGCGTATTCACTATCCGAACGAACGAATGCTACTATCCAACGAGCGAACGTCCAGTCTTGTTCGCGCGGTTCTATAATTCTCATTCGTTTGCGAACGTCTTTGATATACCGAATGGAAACAGATGAGGGAGCGAACCGAATGGCGAACGGCCGCATGCATTCGGTTTGCTGTCCAAATATACCGAATTTCATTCCTTTGTTCTTTCGGATAGTGAATACGAACCTTAACATAAAGCACCGCCCCTCTCAATGCGTTCTCCCACCATGCTTATGCTTTACCTTGCCCACACCCGTAAAAACCGGCAACACTGTATCGGTCGCACCGGCTTCTCGCCGGCCCCTTTTGATGCTGTCTCTCTGTCTGTCAACCGGTCATTTATATTATTCTCTGTCTTACACGTTAAAATCCTATACACAGTAATCAAATGACCAGGTCGGTATAATAATTTTATTTACTTTTCTATTAGTGTTAAGTTAGTATTTATATATTTACATGTAACATAATTGTAAGTAATTCCTTATATTAGTTATCTTAAAAATACTGTTTTTCTATACTTAAATAATATATGATTTCTTAGTAGTTTTACGCTCACTATGACCAGACAGCTAAGTGCTTGTTTTAACTGGTCACACAGAATTTTCCCACTAATACATTAAAACTAAAAAAAAAATGTCTTTATTTTCATCATGAATATTTACATAAATATCATATCACATAATATACAATATTAGATGTATACACTGTATACCTATAATTTTCAAGATTTTATTGCTTGGTGTAAATTCTGTATTCCTATTGAATTGACCACTCTATATAAAGTCGATACTCCATGTTTTATAGTTTTATTTCAAATAATATTTCACAATACACATTCTATGATTATTGTGTTTTTACTGCTTTCTTATTTCTTGTCGTCTAGATGACATTCTTCTCTCTTCTTTTTTTGCTAGTCTGCTAGCCTATAATTTTTTTATGCTTCCTTTGTTCCATTTCTATTATGTTCTTTGACCTCTTCTCTCAATTTTTCAGGTAATCGAGTACTTTTCATTTTCTACTGTCAATAACCTCACTTGTCCATCTTCAAATAAAACTTCAATCCTCGGAATATATCCATATAATAATTCAGGTGTTTTTTTCGCCAGTGAATTTATTCACAGATGTATTTATAGCTCTTTCTATAGTCTTAATATATGTATCCCATTTGTTGTCATCATCTGCACAAGCCGAAGCCAGTATCATTGGAATAATAATGCTGTTCAACCATTTATGGTTGTATCACACAAATTCACTCAAATGTTCTGCTATAAAAATGGACACCCTCTTGATAATCTGGCTTATTGTAGGTTGGCTAACACCATGCAAGTCTCCACTTACTATCTGAAAATTAGAAGTCGCATAAAACCGTAAACAAATTAATAATTGAATAACGGGGGGAATAGGTAAACCACGATTGGTAGGTTTTTGCAAGTCTTCAATTACAAGAGGTAAAATAGTTTCTGTAATTGTAGCCTTGCTATATCGGTATTTTAAATTTCCCCTCGCCAAACATTTGTGTTGGATTTCCTGCATCCCTTATATATCGTTTTGGAACTCGAAGACGATTTTCTTCTTCCACATGGTCCAAAATATCCTCAAACTCATCTAACATATTCAAAACTGTTTAATCAGACAAAACGGATTTACAAGGGATTTATTTTGTTTACTAAAAAATTAGGTTAAGAAACTATTCACAGATCACATAAACTATCCAAAATGAAAATCGCAATCTCCAAAATGACGTTTGCTCGTGTATTCTGTGGATTCCGCTCTCAAGAGCCCAAGACCGTCTTGGCGTCTCGAGACGCAACTATAAATACGGGCCTAAATCTTGAAAATTAATACTGCGATAACTTGATGGGATTATTTTCATTGTTTAATTGTACTCCTATATTATTAGTAAAATTCTAGAGTATAATTTATATTATAATTTCTATAAAATATTCATAGTTATATTATTATAGTGTGTCTATGTTATAGGTTATTTAAAAAAAGTGTAACATATTCCAACAAAGGGGGAATAATATGAGTTTGTAATATCAAATAAGCTTCATTATTTTGGTGTAAAGAAAAATATTAAGAAAAAATTCTATAATTACATATATATACAAAAATATTTGAATTTTTCACTGTTGATACGTTAATACAATGTGTTTTAAACACAATTATTTATTTTTAGATTAAAGAAAAATTACAAGATTTTAATGTGCCAGACCAAGAAATTGTTACACCGATTATAGTAGGAATTTCATATTTGAAGAAAATCAATTGTCCTTCAGATTTATATTGTATTGGTGGACACGTTCTTAAAAAAGCTCTAAAGGATGCCGGGTATAATGTTGTTGATATAAACGTAAGTAACAGGAAATATTTAGTCTGCTTAGCAAGAGAACATATTTATGACAATGACAGTTTTCTTCAGGTGATTTTTTTTTATCGAATATCTAAATTGTTTTTCTAGACAAACTATTTTGAGGTGATATCATAACTATATTTTTTTAGTTACGATATCTCTTAAATGATTTATTAATATTTCGACAGTAAATTTTCAGAGTTAAGTATAGTAATTTTATTTTATTGGGGGTTTCAATGATCCCTTGTTATATCTTTTCTTGATTTTAGTGATTTCGCTGATATAGATAATAAAAATGCCTATTATAAAAAGCATTTTTAGGTTTCGTTGGAAAATAATAGGGAAGATGTATCGTAGTAAAGATTTTTTAGTCCCCTGACGCAAACTGCACATTGAAAACATAAAAAATACTGACAAAAAAGACCAGTTTTAATAAGCAATTTTAATAACAAAATTTACGGATTAACATGTATTGTAAAATATTAAATTAAGATTTGGGTACCAATACACTTTGCGGATGAATTTTGACCACAGAGTATACTTATTATGACATGTGATAGTGTGACAAGGTTGGGCGTGTTAATTTGTGACAATGTTAGGCATCAGTGTTGGCGCCTGAGTCGACCAGAGGGGTCCGGTGGATTTTTTGGCGTAATTTTTCGCCTTAAGTTTTTTGCCGATTTTTTTCACTAATTTGTTGTTAGTGAATAATTAATACTAATATTATAAAATCTAAATAAAATTGGGGATAACCTCAGAATATTACCGTCACTTTTTTCTGTTTCGTTTAAGAATATATAATGAACAATTTCCCATGTAGGTCCTAACAGGGTCGGACTGGCCATATAGATGGTGCTGCAGTGTGGCGATTGCCAGCCGGGCCCCAGCCGTTGCGAGCCCCCTGTCTTTGTATCTATATGTAAAATACTTCATTATTTATTATTAAAAAGAAACAAAACAGAAAAAAGTGACGGTAATATTTTGTGGTTATCTTCAAAACTTTTGTTTGGATTAACAATATTTACATTTGCATTGAATTTTGGTTTGCATTGATTACAGGTAGTTTCCTGATTTCAAACACTAACAACGAATCAATAGGGACCAAACTGACCAAAAGATAAGGCGAAAAAATACGCCAAAAAAATTCTATCCGGGCCCCTCCTCACAATGTCGTCCGGGCTCCTCTGGCCCAGTCCGACCCTGGGTCCTATGACAGGGAGATCTGCAAAGGCTGGGGCTCGTCACTCTTTTGTTTCAATTATATTTAAGTAAAAATAATGAATTATTTTACATGTATGTAGGTCCTAAGACAGTGAAGCCTGGGGATCAGCTGGCAATCGCCACCCTGACTATATGGCCAGTCCGACACTGGTTGTCGCTATATAGCGCGCAATTTCAGTTGTATTAGTTTAGATTTCTGTTGACTGTTCACCGGGTTGTATCTGATGTCGCTTGTATCGTTTTTGCATGGAGGACTTTGTAGTGCACTTTGTGGACTTTGTAGTACATGTAGAAAGAAATGTACAGAAAAAAGCGGCTTGCTGAAGAAAAAAATACTGTGCAATATTCGAACGTGTAGAGGACCGTACATCCTACGACCTAAAGAGGGTGTAATATTTAGTCATGTTTTTGAATGTTCCAAACGATATATTAGTAGAAATATTGCCGTTGGAAGTTATTTTTCAGAAATTCACTTTCCGACATAGAAAAATATAAACCCAGATGTAAAAAGCCATATACCAACAATATATATTTATTATTTATATATTTATTATTTTTAAGGGAATTTGCTCTTTAAAACTATTAGAAAATCCCGAATTTCATAAGATTGGTGGTATCGGTCATGTCCTACAAATAGTCGAAGGTGTCTTGACAAAAAGAAAGTACAAGGCAGTCTCAAATAAATTGTACCTCAAATTTCGGTATTTGTAATATATGATGTGACCTTAAATCGGGTGTAATTGTTTACATAAAACGTCGTGATGCAAGAACCCTTACGAAATTAAGTTTGGAATGATTAAAGCCAGGGAGTGAGATATAGGCAGATTGCTGGTCCGGTTACAAAGCATTAAATTATCTAGAAGGAGTATCATTATACATCCACAAAACGGTAAACCATTCAAATACTTCAAGGATCTAGAAACATGTGTATGCACAAGCCAAGTCGAAGAATACTGATCACGGTTAAAAAAATACTGTCGATCACAGCAGATCATGGCATCGAGTTGTCGAGAACATATTGATCACTTAATGTAGCTCGAACACTTCGAAGGCAAAAGACAATCAAGCAGAAAGACAACTTTCCAAAACATCTTGGGCCAAATTAAGGAAAATATTCTTTAAGCAAGTATAATTAAATGTAAATAATTTACTTAATAAACAATATAAAATGTAGTCATTTTTATGTAGTTTCATTTTTCTATTTTAAATGTAGAGTTTTGTCATTTACTATAGACAATTATCATAAACAAATAATCAATCTATATCAAAAAATCAATCTAAAATAAATTAATAAAAAGCAAACCAATTTTTAACGGTAACCAGATTTTATTATTTCTATAAAAAATACAAAAATTGAGAAAAAACTGGAGCCAACGTTTTAAATTTATATATAAAATAATAATTATTATTAAATAAAATATATAACGTTAAAATATCTTTGAAATGTTTTCAAAATAACTTTGAACAGAAATCTCAACTATTAACAGCATAATAGCTCCCTGTATGATTTATATTTATAAATAAATTTGAAAAATACAACAATATGCTTTGGAGGGTTTCGTAAAACGATATTTTAAAGTATGGACTGTGTTATAGTGTCGTGCTATAGATACTGGTAGGGTCCATGGAAATTTAGTATAATAATATAAATACTTGATTTTTAACAAGCAGCAAGACCATGATAGATAGGCTAGCTATAAATTATTTTTATTACAAGGATGCCAACAATACGTACATATTAGGTACAGTACGTCGACCCGTTCTGTAGCTACGGGGCATCCGTTAAAGGGGAAAACGAGATTCTCTATTAAGCCACAAATTCATGGGCGTGCCATAAATATTTTAGATAATATTACTTTGATATAGAAAAATTTCAAAAATACCCAATCATTTTTAATGTTTTTCTACGTAAATGAGACATAATCTTGTAACATAATAATAATTAAAAAATTAGGAAGAAAAACAATAAAAACTCTAAAAAATCACACTATTTTACCGATAGGTGACTGCTCCCCAAGGTCGGTCTGCCGCATTCTTGAAAGTCCTTTCATAGACACAGGTCAGTAGACAGACAGTATGTTATTAGTAGCATCTTATTACCATTTATTATAATGGAATATTAAAAAATTTTATTTCCTTTAATTCTATTAATAAACAATAAAAAATGTTTATATTAAAAACATGTATTTAAGCTAGAATTTGAACTAAAACTTATATTCTAAATTACTTTTATCTATAAAAATAGTAGTTTTTGTAATATATTTTTTTTTAAATATTAGATTTCAGAATGGAAAAAAGTGTCAGTGACGCTATTGTTCATGCAGCTGGAGTATTTAAATTTAGTAGAAGAATTTTATAGGAATGAAAAAAGGATATGCAGTAAGATATTTGAACCTGCTGCAGGGTGTTATATTTATGAATTTTTTTATTTTAATATTAAAAACTTATGAAACATGTCTTTTTAAATAAATAATAAACGATCTTATCTATATCTATTTCGTCCGTACCGTGTAAACTCGGCCTTAGGCTTCAGGCGCCTGCTATGACTCATACGCTCACCGACGGTCGAAGAACGCCGCTAAGAATTTTCGAGATAAGTCTGGATTGTCTGTTTCTCTCATATATAAGCCGATGCCCGAAACCTGAAGAAGATAGAGAGATAAATAACCGATCGACGCGTAGAGTTACAATCGCCGCGCTAATTCAAAATAAATTTCTGTTAGATAAATAATTAGATAAATTCTAAATAAGTTATAAATAGTTCTTTAAGTCTTTTTAATCGTTATTGTTTTCGTTAATTAGTGCTAAATCAATTGTGTTTAAATAAATTGTGACTTTCTATCCACACGGAACCGACGAAAAACGTAACAGTATATTCAATTAAAAGGAGCCAAAAGGTTGTTTGGACAAATTTTTTGTTGTAACCCTGTATATACTATTACACTTGTTTTATACTTTTTCATAGGTTGGGTGGTCGGGGGATGTAAGTTATTTGTATTTCCGTAAATGAATTGGTATATTTTACCTTACAACATTTTTATGAGATTTTTAGTAGAACTTTTCTGCTTTGTATTTAGCTTTAAGGTTTTAAAGCGTTAAACAATATCGTCTTTGTATAATTGAATATTTTCTTTAATGTTTTCCACTAGTTTGGAGATTTGGAAGAATCCATGACATCCTTAAAGGACGTATGTTTTCAATTCCTCGACCAGGCGAAAGACGTTGGAGCCGTAGTTCTAGACTTGGACGTTAATTTTAAATTAATTCAGGCCGAGGGAGCTATATTGCTTTTAACTAGAAAGCCAGAAATGGAGTTCCTGTGTGTGGCGACGGACGATAGCGGACCGCTAACGGCAAACATAGACTTTATCGGTGCGTTGACTTCTGTAAGCCGGATTGTTTTTATGTAAACTAGAAGTAACGTAAACAAACACTTTCAGGTAACAAATTTTACGTAGAGGCGATTGAAAGGATATCGAAGAAGAAATGTATCATTTTGGGCAAGCCTAGTATTAAATTGAAAGAGTATTTGGTCGACAGGTACCACATAGAAGACTCGAAGCGAGTTCTATTTATTGGGGACGCGTTAGTATTCTTTATTACATATATAAATTATGCTTAGTTATCTAACTACAATAAATTTAGAAATTATCAGGTTAAGTCGCATATTCTAATTTACTGTCCATACACAATAGAATACAAAATGACTAGGTGATCTGAAAAAGCTTCAATATGAAGATGGGCTAAAACTAGTTATTATTTTCTCCCTCTATTATTTATATTATTTTCTCCCTCTATTTAAAATGAAAGAGAGACATGTATATTTTACACCTAAAATCAACTCAGCTTCTATCCAACATTTAGTTTTGTTACAAACCTCTTATACGACTACAAAATATATATTTATTCAGTTATTTACGATTTTTTTCTCCTTTTTTATTTAATTTTTTGAAAATAAAACACATATTTTATCGTTTTTTGCTATTTTTACCACTGTATTGGGAGTTTGCCATAAAATAGTGATACCTATCAGCAAGAAAAAATCATATCAGTTTACCTTTTAATGAATTTGTCAATATATTTTCCACTTTATATTTTCATTTGATTTAATAAATAAAACTATTACAGTTGGGGGTTGAGCATTTGGTGTTGAAACAAGAAATTAAAACACAATACACCAAAATAATTAAAAAAGTATAATACACCAAAACACTTTACTAAAATTTAGTAAGGTGTTTTGGTGTATTTTTGCCTATAAAAAAAATTATTGTGCTAAAAGAGAAATAAAAAGTGATAAGAAATAAAAAATCTGTATAAAATATATTTTTTACAGCCAGTAAATTATATTTGTCTGGTTTGGCACAAGACAAGTAATTTTTAGTTTATAGAATAGTTTACTAGTATTTGAAACACTAACGTATTCAATGACAAAATGTTTTTATTCAATTTGTTATGCTATGAATCAGCATAATATATGTCTCATGATATTAGTAAAGTGTCCTTATTACCCAATTATTCCCCTTTGTTGAAGATCTTTCGATTGAACGAGTACTAGTAATTACTAAAAGTGCCTGCCAATTTGTTTTAAATATCGTTACTATTATTGAAATGAGAAAAAATATGGACTAAATAATGGCTTAACAAAAAAAAAATCATTAGATCAGTGTCTAAAATGAATCATTAGCAATGAAAACAATTTTTGTAACTAAGTTTAGATTTTTAATTAAGTTTCTATTACTTAAGTTAAATCATTTTTTTAATTGTACCTTATTAATTTTGTTTTATTTCAGCCTTGGTACTGATATAGCTTTTGCTCATGCAGCGAATTTTCAAAGCCTGGCTGTTCTTAGTGGTCAAACAAAATTAGAAGATTTGCTTAATTGGACACACAGTGATGAAGAGAAACCAAATTACTATGTACAGAGCTTAGGCCATCTTAAACAATTAATGATCGAGTGGGGTTTATAAAGATATTTCTACTCTAGATATTATCTACCAAATGATGTTTTGAATTGGTATTAAAACTATTAATGTGCGTTTTTTCAATAGACGTACATTTCAATTTAATTTAAGTATAATTAATTTTTTTGATAACCTTTAATATTATGTCTATATGTATTGTAATTATTATGTTTATAAAACTAACTTATTACTTATTTGTATCGTAAATAAGATAAAAAATTTAAGCAGGGATACTTTTGCAATAGCAAACCATATGTTTGTCAATTATCTTGATTTACGAGGCATGTTTTTTAAGTAAGTACCGTTTTGCGATTCCGCCGCCGCAGCGCTACGGTCGGCGTTCCGCGCATGCGCGCTGGTTACCTACATCTCTTGTCTATGCACAGACGCCAGTACAGTCTGATTCTTCATTGTATACGTTGTTTATTGAGTGTTTAAGATGCCTCCGACAATCGTGAGCCCCGCCGATTGTGAAGTACGGGCTGTCATAAGATTTCTTAGTGCTAAAGGCGTAAAACCGATCGATATTCATCGTGAGATGTGTGAAGTTTACGGACAAAACATTATGAGTGATGGAATGGTAAGGAAATGGGTGAGAGCATTTAAAGATGGCCGCACAAATGTGCATGATGAAGAACGGAGTGGGCGTCCTTCGGTCGTTAATGAAGATTTGGTGCAGAAAGTGGACGAAAAGGTGAAAGAAAACAGACGCTTTACAATTTCATCATTGTGCGACTACTTTCCTCAATGTTCTCGTAGTGCTTTGTATCGCATTGTGACCGAGAACTTGAATTATCGGAAATTGTGTTCACGTTGGGTTCCGAAAATGTTGACGGATTTGCACAAAACCCAACGTTTAGGCAGTGCATTGACTTTCCTTGAGCAGTACCACAATGAAGGTGAAGATTTTTAGACAAAATTGTTACTGGTGACGAAACATGGGTGGCCTACGTCACACCAGAATCGAAACAACAGTCCATGGAATGGCGACATTCATCATCACCCAAAACAGTGAAGTTTAAGCAAACAATTTCTGCCCGGAAAATCATGTGCACAGTTTTTTGGGACAGAAAAGGAGTATTGCTAGTGGAGTTTCTGCCTCGTAATGAGACAATCAATGTCTTATTGTGAGACATTGAACAATCTGCGCCGTGCAATCCAAAACAAAAGACGTGGCAAGTTGAGTAAGGGTATTGTTTTGCTGCATGACAATGCCCGTCCACATAATAATATATGCCGTCCACATAATCGCATCAAAGATCTCATCAAATCTTTTAAATGGGAAACTCTAGATCATCCTCCATACAGCCCTGATCTGGCGCCCAGGGACTGCCATTTATTCCTGCACTTGAAGAAACACCTGGGCGGTCAGCGTCTTCAAGACGATAACGAAGTCAAAACAGTTGTGATACAGTGGTTAACCAGTCAGGCGGCAGAATTTTATGAGGAGGGTATTGAAAAACTGGTGCCACGTTATGACAAATGCCTCAATATTCACGGAAATTATGTAGAAACGTAGATTAAGGTACAGGCTTTCATGTAAAAATAAAATTATTGCGATATCTTTGCACGTTTTTTTTTAATTCCAAAACGGTACTTACTTAAAAAACATGCCTCGTACATATTCATTGAATAAAATGTTAAGTACGATGCAGTAAAGTCCCATTAGTCGAATTAATAAGAATGTTGAGAAAACCGATTTAGATCATTTTCAATATACTATACACTAGGTTTCAAAGGAAAAAAGTACGGTTAGAAGAAACTTGATAATTTATGACAGTAAGATTACAGTTGAGAGGTGGAGTTAAACAGCAAATTTCTTTGTTAGGCAAATTTGTATAACTGTAAACATAACTTCTGACAAGCAGTGTCCGTTTAGGGTTAACACAGAAGTGTTTACAAAAAATAAATATTTTATTTTGTAGATTTTCTTGCAGTGCCCATAAAGGATATTTTTGGAGAGTTGAAGAACTAGTACAACATTTATTTAATTCAGTGCTACTGAAACTGTGATTAACAGCAAAATATATGGCAATAATCAAAACTAATTATAGCTATCTATGAAAGACTAAAATCGAAATGATATTTCGCGCCTATATAAAACGCCTTTTGATTTTTAGGACATGTACGAAAAAAGTCAAACATGTGTTTTCATGTTTTTTTTTTAATTTTTCCTTAAACGGTATGGAAATTTGCAAAAGTATAAAAAAAGATTAACCATTTAAGAACAATCAATTTTTTTATTAGGAATGAATCTTTCTCAATATGTCAATAATAAAAAAAAAGTTTTACCTCCTGTAAAGACAATTCAGGGACATTCTGTATATGATGAGGTGATATCCTACATCATCAAAACCTATTTTCCCTTCTAAATATCTAACGTAAATTTGCACTTTCTTTAAAAATATAATGATCAGAAAACACAAGCAAGAATATAGATATAATCAAACAGGAACTGTCATCTACAACTTCGTTGTTGGATAAACTTTACTGTAATTAACCAGTGAAAAATAGTTATTCCAGAATTTTTTGACCTGGCCAAGAAAAACGTAGTAGTTACTGACTGGAACAGAATTAAGAAAGAGTAAATTTTTTGACATAAAAAATAGAATCTATGCTTCAGATACTTTATGCTCACAAAGTTCCCTGTTGGTAATATTTATTTTCGTTCTGAAAATAAGAAATATTCTTGAAGAAGGCTTGATACAAATGTAAGGGTATAAAAATATTTTTGACCAAGTTTTCAATAAGTCATTATCCGTAAGGTACATACATATAACAAACATTTTATTGTAAAGAAAATAACGAGTTTTATCCTATTAGTGCAATAGCATAGTCGAAATAAAGATAAATTTATTATTTTTAGAGACGGTTTTCGCTTTATCTCGTACTGCCAGTTTTCCTGCTACAATGCACGAAAGGAAAAATTTCACATGATAGCGCTGAAATAATTTCACGTCGGATTGCACAAGTTAATTTAAAATTTTAATGATGTACTATGCAAAATTAAAATTAGTTTCGGAGTTTTAGAAAAATATTTATTTCGATCATGCATTACTATCATTTTAAGTTGGTTTAATATTAAATTTATTTCATGCTGTTTTGTATATACCGGGTGCGTCTAAAAAGTGGCCCACCCCTATAACTTTTTTATTTCTTCAGATAAAAAAACGAGATTTGGTATGTTAGTATATCACGGGGTATATCACATAAATTGGGATTGATTGACGTATTCAATTATTTTCGGTCACTTCCTGTTTCACCGGAAATGACTACAACTTTTGATTTTTAAATTGCCCCCCCCCCCCTCCCGGTATTTTACTTTATTCGATGATATTCGAATATGCAGGTAAATAAAAAAAGACTTGAAGGTGCACAGAGAGTCATGGCTTTGAGGGTCTGCTCGGCGTATCGGACTACTTCAACTGAGGCAGCCTTGGTGATATCGGGTCTGGTGCCCTTGCATCTTCTCTCAAGAGAAAGAGAACGACTCTTTCTCAAGGGTGAAGTACAAACCAGGACAAGCAGAGAGATGGAGAGTAACCGCACAGTGCAGCAGTGGCAGGCAGAATGGGAAGTATCAATTATATTTTATATTATTTATTAATTTTAGTTGTTATAAAATTGTATAATACAGAAATAGCTTTTTCATGTGGTCTAAACTAAGTCATGATTAACTTTATAAATTAATAATTCTTGGAACGACTTAATTTTTCCAAACATTCATATGTTTTTTTTTAATTTTGGACAAACATGGTGTCCCAGGCTGAGCGTGCATTAGAAGTTTCTAGAGAACCACAATATCTAGATCAGAGATTTTTTGCACATTATTGTTTTACAACGAGATCTATCGAATAAAAATATTTTCAATATGGCGGCACTTCCGGAAATACCGGAAGTTCAACAAGTTTCTTATTTTAAATGGGTGTCCCCACTAACGCAGCTAAATGCGAGAGTATTAAAGTCATGGTTACAAAATCACGCTTGGGCTGGTCACGTATGCAGAATGCAAGAAAACCGCATACCAAAGTCACTGCTTTACGGTGAGCTTGTAGGCGGGAAGAGGAGGCCGGGTGGACAACTCAAAAGGTACAAGGACATTTTCCACGAAAACTTAAAGGGGATTAACATGCAGAATGAGTGGGAAGAAGCAGATCACAATAGAACTCAATGGAGAAAAATTGTAAACTCAGTTAACAGCGACACCCAAAAAGTAAAGAGGCAACAAAGCAATGAGATTTTTGAATGTCCGGAGTGCGCTAGGCCAATAACATCACGTATTGGGCTTTTCAGTCACAGAAAAGCTCATGAAAGAGAACGCCTTGCGTGATCATCTTGTGATGCGTGTCGAATACTCGTCAGCGAGTAATGGCAGTATGTATATATGCCCCCATTTATTTTTACATAGTTTGATTCTCTATAAAATTCTATGAATATTGATGACTCCCTATACCTAACATTAAACGTTTTTGAGGAAAAAAAATATTTAAAATTTTTGGACGAAAAAAACTACCTGTCAAAAAAATTTAAATAAAAAAAAACTTATTCACTTTATAGTTTGCAAAATATACTGAAATAGAGAACTGCTTTTACTTATAAACAAGCGTTTCTTTGGTCTCTGACAAAAAATGGTATGACAGTGAAGAACGTTCAGTTTTTATGACGTCACATTCGCTAAACCTTTCGAGACTTGTTTCTAAAAATGTACTAAATATTTTATTACCACCCTGAATATATTATTATCAATCTATTAAATATAATTTCTAAAATAATTTTTATACAACCTAGCGAGCTAAGTTTTGTCACATTTAGGGAACAGTTACGGATCTGCGTTTTACTGCTCTTTATCAGGCACAAGAAGGGCCTGGTAACGTAACAACGACGTCACTTGGAACACATTTCCCTTAAAGGAATAAAATGCTCACTGGGAAGTATATGTAGTAAATACCATAAATATATATTTAATATTATATTAAATTTTAAATTGGTAGCGTATACGCTAAACAAACAAATCTGAAATTGTAACTACTGACTTACTATTATTACGTACCTACTTAAAAATAATCTCCCATTTAAATCACGCAAGTAAATGAGCAACTGAGA